CTACGTTCAAAACCTTATTATTATTATTTTTATGGTATAATATACAGTAAGAAACTCTTTTAAACGAGCTCTCGTTTGTTGGATTCTGATCATCCAGTCCGGAGTTATTAATATTTAAATAAAGACAGATCTAACCTTCCCCCACCACTTTATTTTAGCAGATAGGGGAAAATGGTTCTAACAAAAAAAATCCAAAATTTACTGAAGATTATGAAGCTATTATTTATAGTACTCATTATCTAGGCAAAATTCTGTAAAAATTCTATTTTATTATTTTTCATAGCAGTTGCGCCCTCTAGGGGCCGTTTTACAAACTTGAAAATAATTTCCAGCAATTTCTCATAGCCCTTTTAGTCATAAATATTTTTTTCCGTCGGCTCTAAGGCTGATACTTTTCGAGATACAGCCGAGGGCTATTCTTAGTAGGACACCCTGTACATTGTTCCAATTAAAAACATAAAATGTAAAATTGTAATAAATAAGTTATTTTACTATTTCCTATAAAGCTACTCAGGAAAACTTAATTCAACACTATATCTTTTAACAATGAAGTGAGAATCATAGTCTAAAATAGTGTGAATATATCTGTACATTTATATATTATATAAATTAAAATACTTTAAAATTATAGTACAGCAATAGAAAACAAATTTGAAAACTTGGCTGTAATATTTGGTCTTTCAGAGGTCAATTGGTTTTGTAACACAGTTTGGTCTTGGTTTTTCTAGTACTAGTTTAACCCATTTTATCCCATTGGTGCATGACTGCACCAGCAACTTATGAAAATCAAATTTCGATTAAAATATTGTTTTGGAGCCTAGATTTTTTTACCCATTCGTTGATAATAGATTTATATTAATAAAAATACTTATTGAGGCTTTTCTTCTCCTCGGGTAACAAAAAACACAAACGTATAAAATGTGACAAAATAAATCTGCAAAAACTATATATTCGAATTTTGAAAAAAATCCACATTTTAATAATTATTTCCATTTTTTTATTACGACTACTAATCTGTCATGATCTTCCGTTTTTATGATAAAAAGGACGATTTACCACAGTCTCTATAAAAACCTTAATTTTTCCCCAAAATATTAGTGGTGCATTCGCGCACTGCTGGTAATAAAAATGAACTAGAAGCCAAATTTTGCCGGTCTTGACAAGTTTTGACGAACGTGTGCACAGTTATAATAATCGAATAAATGTGTTATTATTAGTTTCTGTTTCGTGTTATATGCATGTAAGTTAGCTAAGAGGCCTTATAAACGATTTTTGACGCAAAGACAATTAGAAGAGGAACTGGAAAGTGTTGTTTTTGAGCTGGAAAATGATAATAACGGTAGAAATTACTTACTTACGTCTATAGTTTATAATTCAATAAAAATTTTGTTTTTTATTATTTGTACTGGATGCAGTTTATATACCTCCAGACACCGATGCTTTGACAGATGAATATAGATATCGAAAGTTTCAGTTGTCCGTTGGAATGATAACTCTTGCGTAACGCTTTGTAGTAACGTACATAATGTAAAACCCATAAATAAAGTGAAAGGTTATAATAGAAAAGAAAAAAAAAGATGTATTTCTTCCACAGCCTAATGTAATCACACAATATAATAAATATATGGGAGGTGTGGATTTGCACGATAACGGAATAGCCAATTACAGAACCAGAATTTTGGGGGGGAAATGGTGGTGGCCTTTATTCTGTAACACTTTGGACAGTATTATGGTGAATGCTTGGAAGCTTTATAATGTTGCTAACAATAGTAAAATATCTCAAATCGATTTCAAATCATATGTTGCACTACGTCTAATGAAATCTACAAGAGTTGCTGCAGTTATTAGAAACATTCCACAATCTATTGACGAAATTCGCTTTGAGAATCAAGGCCACACCATTGTTTTCCACGAAACTAAGTCTCGAAGTAGATGTAGAGTTTGCCATAATCATAGTATGTATACAGGGTCTTTCAAAACAAATGCAAAAAACTTTAGGGGGTGATTCCTTGTTCAAAATAAAGGGTAGTTTGCTTTATAAACGTTGGGTCAAAAGTCAACCATTAGGGAGATATCGCGGTACAAAGATGGCGGAAAAATAATGTTTTTATTTTTTATCTTGAAAACGAAAAGAGATAGACTAATGAAATTTTATGGAAGCATTATTGTTATGAAAACACACTTTAGGGTATTTTTTTACTTTTTAAAATGAGTGGAAGGGTTGAAATAAACTACCCTTATCATTCTTGTTAACGAAATTTAAAGAAAAATCTTATCAAACACATGCAAATGCTTTAATTTGGATAGTTTAGTTTGTTTAGAAACTTTTTACCTCTTGTGTTTTTTTTGATAAAACTCACAGACTGGAAATTAAAAAATAAAATGTAAAGCATTACATGTCAGGACAAAAAACATTTTTAGATTAAGAATCTAGTGATAATAACGATAATAATAATCATCTAGATAATAACGTATTGCAGTAGAGTAATGTCAAATAAAATAATATTAGGAACATCCTAAAAAGTAACAGCGGCCGACTAGATTTTTTCCTAAAAAAATTACAGCAGCCCACTAGATTCTTTATCAGAAAATGTTTTTTGTCCTGACATGTAATGCTTTACATTTCATTTTTTAATTTCAAATCGGTGAGTTTTATCAAAAAAATACAAGAGATAAAAAAGTTTCTAAACAAACTAAACTATCCAAATTAATTTTCTTGCATGTGTTTGATAAGATTTTTCTTTAAATTTCGTTAACAAGAATGATAGGGGTAGTTTATTTCAACCCCCTCCACTCATTATAAAAAGTGAAAAAATTACCAGAAAGTGTGTTTTCATAACAGTAATGCTTCCGTAAAATTTTATTAGTCTATCTATTTTCGTTTTGAAGATAAAAAATAAAAACATTATTTTTCCGCCATCTTTGTACCGCAATATCTCCCTAATGGTTGACTTTTAACCCAACGTTTATGAAGCAAACTACCCTTTATTTTGAACAAGGAATCACCCCCTGAAGTTTTTCGCATTTGTTTTGAAACACCCTGTATATGTCAAAAATATAAGGTACATTTGCATGTTCCGTGCTTTGCTACGTATCACCAAAAGTAATAAAAGTAATAATCTTTGTTACCAGTGGTTCATACATGCACCAAACAAAAGTTGATAAAGTAGTTGTTTTTAAGCGTTTTAGTGTTTTATTTTATACTTTTAAGTAGAATTTAAGATAATTTCGATGTGTTAAGTGTACTCTAGTAGGGTTTTTATCAGTTAGGAATATTTTTAGAGAAGTTTTATTTGGTTTTTCATACCAGTGGTTCGCAAACGCACCAGTAATTGAAATTTGTCCTTTTATATGTATAATAATAAAAGTACTTAAAAAAATTGTTTTTTATATAATAAAAAAATATAATAGAAATAAGTTTAGTACATTTTATTGCAAAAACTGTCGCTATGGTTACAGGGACTGATAGTTTATACACATAACTTTAGTACTAGTTACTATTTTTTATATACCGGGTGCGTCTCAAAAGTGGCTCACCTCTATAACTTTTTTATATTTTCAGTTTTTTTCAGTTAAAAAAACGAAATTTGGTATGTTAGTATATGACATAAATTAGGATTGATTGACGTATTCAATTATTTTCGGTCACTTCCTGTTTCACCGGAAATGACTACAAATTTTGATTTTTAAATGATACCCTCGGTATTTTGTTACTTTATTCGATAGAAAATGGCACTCAATAGAATGATACATTATATGTCAACTTTCGACTTTTTCGAATATGGTATATTTGAAATTGCAACATGCGATTCATAACAATTTGACTCGAAATACCAAGTCTGTGGTACCAAATTATTCGTAAAAAATTATTTTTCCAAATAATGAGCCACCCTCGTTTCATTTGAAAAAATTGAGATGTGATTAAAAATACACACGAGACAATCAAATCTATTTTTCCAAGGCTTCTTGATTAAAAATTAGTATTTATAACACAGCTAATTTAAAATACGATTTTTAAGCGATAATGTCAAAAGTTGACATATGATATGCCATTCTACTCAGAGTGTCATTTGATATCGAATAAAGTAGAAATTAATAAATAATATTTTCTTGCCTTTAGCTGTGTATTTTTTCTAATTTCGAAAAATCGAAAGTAGAGAAAAAAAATAAAAAGTAAAAAGAAAATTACGGTTTTGTCAAAGGAAAATTGTTTGTTTTGTCGTAAAGGGGGGGGTTCAAGCTCCACTCTCACAACCGGTTTCTGGGCCTACCCTTCATCAGGTGGGCTGTCCAGGGGCTTGTTCTCACCGATACGGCAAGCAAAACTCTTTCAATATCAACAGACGATGTCGTAAAGTGTCGGTGAGATATTAGTGCATCTACCGTTAAAAGATGGTAAAGAGCGTTTTTCGGCCCGCTCAAATATATATGAAATGAACAAAATTCATACAGCTTTAGTTTACATTAATAAATAATATTTTTTTGCCTTTAGCTGTGTATTTTTTCTAATTTCGAAAAATCGAATTTATGTCATAAACTAACATACTAAAAGTCGTTTATTTACCTCAAAAATTAAAAAAGTTACAGGGATGAGCCACTTTCCAATATGTATTTCCAATTCATAGAAATTAGCTTTTCTTAATAATTATCAAAAAAACTCATTACAAAAGAATTGAATAATCTTTTAAACATATATATTACATAATCATAAAAGTAGAATGCGTCTCATAGTCTAAAATATTATGAAATGATTTCTTACGTATATGATCGTTAACTCGATGGCATTTAACTGCGAACTAAGCATTTGTGTGTTAATAGTCTCTGAAAAGGTTTTGTTTCCTTAAAAGTATATCTAGAATTGTGGTACAATAATAGCAAAAACATCTCATATTAAAAAGTTTTAAGTTTTAAAAATTATATCTTCTAATAATAAAGTGCGAATCATAGTCTAAAATATTGTGAAATTACCTTATATATTAATATAATTTTTATATACTTACGTATATTATCTCGTTGACATCTAACTACGCACAACTAAGCTACTATTTCTTAAAAAAAATTAAAAATACTCTAAAATCGTAGTACAGTAATAGCAAAAAAAATCGTAAAAAACTTGGCGGTAATATTTGGTCCCTAAGATATCGATTACTCTCTTTCAGCCTTAGTTATTTTTCTTATAATTTAGTATATTAGGTTTTATTGCGAAAATCAAGTCACACAGAGACCGAGATAACAACTCACGTCTTCGGCGTGAATTCGTAACGCTAGATGCGAAGCTTCGCCGCGCCTCGACTTGTGTCCGGCTTACTAGGACACAAACTCGCCGACCTCGTCGCGTCGCAGGAGGCTGGAGGCTGTAGCCCGCGCACGCGCTCCACCAGGACCAGAATCTGCAGAAGGACGAACGAGTGAGGCGGAGGAAGGAGAGAAGGGAGTCCTTGCAAAAGGCAGAGGCCGCCGCGTGGGCCTGTTCCCGTTGGAGAGGCGATCAGCTGCTGCCGGATGGGGTGACCTGGATGTGGAAAGACAGGTGGGAAGAGGGGGCCCGGGGTTGGTAGGTCGAGTGGTTGTTTTGGATCCTTTTTTTTTTGAGAGGCAAAATTAGTGCTCTTTACTCGGTGCTGGCTCGTTTTGAGGAATATGATGCTTTACGAGTGGGAAATAGACGTGGAAATTACGTGAGATTTATAAACGTGAATGAAATTGTAGTAGCGGTAATAGCAGAACGGCAGTAATATACCTAGGTTTTATTTGATCTCTAAGATACAGGGTGGCCCATTAGTGCAAGGAAGTCCAATATTGTGGTCGTTGTCAAAGATTTTTTTGAAAAAAATTTATTTATATATTGCAAGGTATATAAAGGGGCGCATCTTAAAAATATTTTGTTATATACAGGGTGTCACATAAAAAAGTTATGATAAAGTTTTAATTTTTTTAAATTGCGCCCCTTATTTTTCTGTAGATAATCGGACTCGGTATAAAATTCTGCATATAGTACGCTATTTTTATTTAAATCATTCTACAGTGTTGCCATTCTATTACTTACTAGCGTGTACCCACGACTTCGTTTGCGTCGAATTAATCATTTGTAATGGTGATGATAAAGCAAAGCAAAATTTTCCATTAACATACAAACTGGATACAATTTTCTCACATTTATGTCAGCATGAGAAAAAACAATATAGCGATATTATTATATAACTTGGTAATATTTGAGGGGTAGTTTCATCTCGTTGGAATTTGACTTCCGAAAAATCCGTTTGCCTTAGCTTTTTAAGTCAAGCAGTTTAAGCTGAATCGTGGTTAATCAATTACTCAACTTTTTGGAACACCCTGTATAATTTTTAAAAAATTTCAAAATATGTAAAAAACAAAATAAATTATGCGTGTCCAAGCGTTTTCATAAAAGACTAACCGTTTATTAAATAACAAATAGGTATTGTAATATTTGAGGGGCGTTTTCACCCTCTTGGAATTTGAGATTCAAGAAACCCCTCCTTATCGAACCTCTATACCCCACAGTCAATCCGTTTACCTAAAATCAGCTTTAAAAGTCAAGCAGTTTAAGCAGAATCGTGATTATTGAATGGTCATATCTTATAAAATACCCTGTATAAATTTTTAAAAAATCTTAAAATATGTAAAACAACAAAATAAAATATACGTGTTTAAAAGTTTTTAAATGAAAAATATTCTAATATTTGAGGGGTGGTTTCATCCCCTTAGAATTCGAGTTTCGAAAAATCCTTTTTTAACGAACCTATACACCCTAAAGTCAATCCGTTTTCCAAAAATCAGCTTTTTACGTTAAGCGCTTTAAGCAGGATCGTGATTAATCTAAATATGTAAAAAAACAAAATGAAATATATGTGTTTAAGTTTTTTTTTCGGAAACTTGACCATCTTTTAAATAAAAAACATTGTAATATTTGAGGGCTGGTTTCACCCCCTTGGAACTGGAATTTTGAAAAATCCCTTCTTAACGAACCTCTACACACTAGAATCAACCTGTATGCCAAAATTGAGCTTCTTACGTTGAGTGGTTTGAGCAGGATCGTGATTAATCAGTGAGTCAGTCACTGAAGGATTTTATATATTAGTATAGATTTAGTGAAACTTTGGTTAAAAATGTTATATCCGATAAGTGGTAGAAAACTAGAGTGAATATAACTTGATTAACACTTGGCTATATGTTCCTAAACAACAAAGAAAACAGAACAAATCCGCGTAGAAAAATTAACATTATTCTGTACAGGGTATTTGTTATGGCATCACCAAAATCGGAATATTTAAAATGCTATATCTCAATTTTTTTAAATACAACACTCTGTATATTATATTGTCTGTATTTTGTTCAGCCATGATTAAAAAATAATGTACTAGCTCTAGTAGCAAACATCTTTCATCACAGCTTTTATCAAAAAACGATTTAGGTTCATATATAGTTATAAAGTGCGACTCATAGTATCAAATATTGTGAATAATTTATACAATTATAAAATTTAAATAATACGTTACAAATAAGCAATACTTACGTAAACAGGGTATCCCAATATTCCGTGGACATAGAGCTACTACGTATTTTTCGAATCAAAGTTCATTGGACACAATTTATATATTATTTATTATTTATATTATTTTCTATACAAAAGTGCTTTGTTTGTCCGCTAGAGGGCATCAAACTTTAAAAACTAAACACATTTTTAAAGATATTTTAAGAACCGTTTTTCCGATTTGAATGAGGTTTTTGGGCGACATTGTTTTGCTAATTGCTTTAACATTTGACTTTCACAAAAATCGAAAAAAAGTATGGGAAGGGAGAAAACTACCCCACACATACACAAATTTTAGTGTAAATATTATCCAACTCTATCGACGATAAATTTTCCTTTCGTATAATGGTTCCTCTAGTATTTGTTACATATTTTGTCTTTTTTTAAATACTTTTTTTTCGAAAAGATAACTAGATAAAATCATTAGATATGTTTCTGAGCATTTAAAATAAAATTATAAGGCTGTCGTTAGGGTGTCCATTTTTTTATAACGAAAAAACGTCAGTAATCGCGATAATTTAAAAACTCAACTTTTGAACACATAACGCGCGATAGCTCAAGAACCACTTTAGATATTGACACTTTGTTTTTCGTTCGGATCTTTTACAATATGTTTCAATAAGAAAAATTCGGTAGGCATTTTTTTTCATTCAAAATTTAAAAAAAAAAACATCCTTTTACTGTTAGTGCATAGAAATTTTCAGCAATCGTGTAACTTCTTCAATATAAAGATTTTCAAATACTGTTTGCGAAGAAAATATAACAGAAATATTAAGAAAGTTTTTGAGAAAAACTACAATCAATTATTTCTAATGGATTTCAAGATATTGATTTTTGAATTCAGAGTTCTAATAGCGCGACCACTGTCGAACAACTAACTCAAATCCACCTATTTTTACCAAAAATACAAGTGTTTCTAACTTGCACTTAAAAATTTACATGTTATAGGAAAATTACAACGACTCGTTAATAAATAAACAAATAAAGTGTCACGAGACGTAATTAAATCGTGAAGCTAAACGCATGATGGACATACTAAGTACTGATTGGGTCGACCCCGACGAATCTGTTATATCCCCTTCCACGTCTTTTAACAATGTGCACAGTTTTTAGGTTTATTTCATACGTTTGGCAACTTTTTTACTGTTATCTCTTTGTTCAGTACATTATAAACGCATTGTACTCTTTTTACAAACGGAAATCTCGACCAAAAACTAAGCTTTGCCAGCCCTTAGTATTCTCCTTATAGTACCATACTCTATACAGAGCGTCAGCTACCTCTCGCATGTACCTGTGATGTGTGTTTCACAAGTACATGGACCTACAGTTTATCGGCGAATCCGAACGGCACTTTTTGAGAGGCTGTACAGGGTGTCCCATTTTGGTTGAAATCATACGGTATCTCCATTATTCGTGAAGATAGAAGGGTGCGGTTTTTACAAACCTGTGCCACTTTTTTGTCAAATGGAAGATGCTGTCAACAAATTTTTTATAACCCTTTTCGTTTCTGAGCTACAGGGTCTTTTCGAAAATTTTGCAATTTGTGACCGCCCCCGTATCTCCGTTATTATGGATGATATCGAAAAGGTGAAAACTGATTCTTGTAGAACTTTTTACGTAGAATACAGTGGCGTAGTCTGTTTTTCTACGAAAAAAAATATTTTTGAAAATATGAACTAAAGTTACGTTTTTTCAAATGGAACACCCTATATATTTATAAATCATATGATCCGCTTTGATATGAGCTTTTCAAATATATATATCACTCTATATTTATTTGCACTATTTACTACAATATTTAAAATATATCATTTTCTTATTAGTTGACCGTGATAAATAACAACATCAAAATGGTATTTACTAAAATAGACATGCACATATTAAAATTTTATTTGGAATTGATATATTTTACTTTTGAAGTGTTACGACTGAACCTCTAAATATATTTTTCTCTGTTTTATAACGGAATTTATTATAATGGGGTGGGTTTGCAAATATTTAAAAGCTTGCATTATTGAAGCATTTTTCAGGTGTTCAGCATCTTATTAGTTGCCACGATATATTTCATATTTCAAAAATCCCCAAAATCAGAGATCGAGAACAGACAAATCCGAGAATCAGGGAGACCATCATATGGGTACATTGGTTCCAATTCTTTGATTTGAAAAATAATAATTTAACAAATTCTTCTAATATTTTCGTTGTAAGTTAAGTTGTGAGGGGGAGCCCCATCTTGCTGAAAGTATATTTCACGTAAATTAGCTAAAGGAATATTTAAAAGTTCCGATACGATAGCTTCCAAGATTTACAAATAGCGGTAGAGATTTAAGTTTCCCTAATATACAAAGAATTAATTAGTGGCTCTCAAAATAAAACAAGAGACAGATAGCAGTATTACTCTTAATAATTCTTTAGTTTCTTTTATTATCAATCATGGCCTACTAAAAAAATGATCTTTTAATATGTTTTTTTTAAATATTGCTTTAAATAATGAAAACAAATATAGAGTGTTATATATTTTTGAGAAGCTTATAACAAGCCAGATCATATAATTCATAAATATATAGGGTGTTCCATTTGATAAAACATAACTTTAGTTCATATTTTTAAAAATATTATTTTCAGAGAATAACACATTACACCACTGTATTCTACGTAAAAAGTTCTACAATAAACAGTTTTCACCGTCTCAATATCTTTAACAATAACAGAGATGGGGGGGGGGGTGTCCCAAATTGCA